AGCTTCTGGGAGAAATAAATTTTGTGATAATTGTGTGACATTCTTGTAAGATTCCCAAAAATGAGGTAATGGTTACTATGGAAACCTAAAAATGTACTTAAACTGAAGGTGAGACCCAGATTGGTGCGGACATTTTCTGTGGCTCTTGGTTAGAGACTGTCCATCAGCCGGCTCAATAAAGCTTTGTTTGTTCCTGCCTTTTTGGTTTTTTTGTGAGTGCCTGTCTCATTGAACTTGCTTGCCATATTACAAGTTTCAGTGATGATTAAGTGTTGCTATTATAAAAAGAAAAAATATAAACAAAAGAAATAACTCATCTCCAGGCAAAAGAATGCCTAATATGTCAACTTTATCTCTTAAAACCTAAGTGCACAAAGTATTCATAAAATTAGCTTCTCAGGAAAAATAAATCAGTGAAAATTGGACATTTCCTGTCTGAGAAAATCTAAACTTTCATAAAACCCTTAGAAATAGGATGGGATTATAGCACAAATTGTTCGTCTCTAGAGTTGTTCTTTTAATATAAAATGGAAAAAACTAGCTACTTCCAAGTGCCACTCTAACATAAGATTTTTTCCAAAGCTTTGAATTACAAAAAAAGTTATTTTCTATTTCACTAGAATAGATCATTACTTTCAACAAATCTTGGTGAAAATACTGAGCTTCATGGAGTCTCATATATGAAATTCTATCTATATTTTTCATTATATTGAATCAGAGAATTTTAAATATGGAAGGATTCAGAAATAATGGGAAAAAATGGAAGCTCAAAAAACCAGAAAATAATAATTTTTAGCGTTTCTTGGCGACTAGCTCACTGGGAAGTGCCCATTCTTCATGATTTCTCAGTCTTGGAACTATTGTCATTTGGAGCCAGATCATTCTTAGTTGTGGGGGTTTCGCATGCATACAGTATGTACAGCAGCATCCTTGACCTATACCCTTTAGATGCCAATAGCATCACCATTCCACCCCTCAGTCATAACAGCCTAAATGCCTCCAGACATTGCCAGATGTCTCCTGGATAATCTAGGAGAACTACTTCTACAAAATCTTTTAATAAATTCCTCATGACAAGGAAAATATTATGATGCCCATTTCACAGATTAAAAACTGAGTCTGACTGCCCAAATTTAAACACCTAATCCAAAAATGGACATCTGAGATGAA